TGTTGTCGAACATCTTGCTTGTTGAACTGAAACGAGATTTTGGGTAAGGCTATCGCTCTGCCGAACCTTTTATACACCTTATCGCCCGAGCTTATAATTGAGAGCTGCTTATTTTGAGGGTATCATTATGATTCTAAATTACTTAGTGCGTTTTTATTAGCCGCATTGCTTGTGGGGTCAATCACGTACAGGAGTGAAGACTTACCGGTCTTTGAGTTTTCTCTTAGGAATGAGCCCCAGAGCTTTTTATATAACTGAGTATGTTAGAATACTAATGAACTTAGCAACCGCTAACATCATCCTTAGTATTATGAATAGTATTATTGGCCTAAATAGATAGGTTTCCTGCCGAAGTAACGGTAACACCAATCATTACCAATGCGGCTTTCCAATGATCTATCATTGATCTTAGTAATGGTTTGAGATCTGGCACTGCTATAAGTAATTTAAAAGGGTATTGTTCATTCCACCGATGCATTATAATTGAAAATGGATTCCTCTATGGAGTTGTGATAAACTAATGTCCCATTTATTGGTAGACGTATATGGTAACCTCCACAAACCGTAAAACAAGTAATTTGGATCGCCGAATCAAAGTCTAACATCTGGTAGTTGGTTATGTTTTGTGAACCACAAGAAATTACGAATGCTTGTGATTCGGACATTGTTATAACTTGTAAGTGTTTTGATGTGCAGGAAACTGCAAATTCAGAGCCTTGCATGCATATGGCATCCGCGAAGCTGGCTTACCTGCATATCGCATGGTACATCAGCAACGTAATCCAAGCTGTTCAAAACCATATCAGCTTCAATAAGGACCACTACCTCGCCGTGATCGGTATCTGTAACAACCTCAGCGGTGTTAATCATGCCCAAAAAAGTTCTTATTGATAGTTTGTATGCTGCATCCCGGTAAGTACGACCGATTTTGTCATCCGCACAATTAAAATGATGAGTTGAAGCAGCTCCACTGCTGCAATCACAAACAAAGTTTTGCACTTCTGAATGTTGTACAGAGCGTCATTTCGGTCCTTGCATTCAATCGTGAAAGACTCCGGCAAGATGAAGGAGTCTGTGTTTGGTATGGCGAATTTTCAACTGCAAGGATATTACGGTAATATTTGTATTGTCCAACTCTTGAGTTATGTATGGCGAAATCTCTATTAGTTATTTTAATGCTCCAGTAATGTTTCCACCTCCAAGTAGACAATTGGTTTCTATTCCACACATTCTACTACCTCGTAAACTGTTTTTGTCGGAGGGATGCGGGCTACTCTAAAGCAGAGGCACGATGGCAGTGGTATATATACCCAACACACAGTAATCCACGGCATGAGTACTGAGAGCCTGAATAGCCTGGATAGTGACTGAACGACTCTAACTCGGGGACAGTCTCATTTCTATGAAGAATATCACATTTTCTATCCACAAATGGGAGCATTTGTGGACATCTTGCTGAATGAAATATCTGATGGTCAGTATCTCTAATGAAAAATTTAACGCATTTTAGTACCACTGATTTCATCGTATGTTTGATGAAACCCGGAGCTTCACCATATTGGCGAACTCAATTTGCTTTTTGCAACGTGTTAAGCAAAATTTCAAGTCTGACTTTTTGTGAGCAATCCTAATTTGGTCCACAAATTATATCCACGGAATGGCGCATGTATCTATTTTGGCACGCCATAGATGTCTCTATTGTGGTCAAAGCCATGATGCACGCTACAGCTAATGTACGACCGCTAAGTGGTATTGGTGAAAAGTAACTGAATACATAAATCTCTTGCTGCGTTCTTGGTTTCTTCTGACATTTCTTCGCCATTTCAACCGCTTAGAGGTTCTTGGGTTCCAAAATGAGATCGTCGTTGCTGCTGGGATTATAATCTTGACTGCCACGGTTGCTATTGCACCGGCTGGCCAACAGTGTGGGTTGATCAATGATGTGCTTAGTGTTTCGATCGATCACAGAAAGGTGGTGCAGCATATTCTGCTTGAAACGATAATGACTCATTGTTTAGCACAAACTCCATTTTCACTTTCATACTTTTCTCTACTGGAGAAACAGGTAGTTTGCATTGCATCACCCTGCACTTTCAAACGTCTGTACCGATCAAAGCAGAGTCTATAGGAGGTATTGGCCATATAGTTGCTACGCCATCCAAACGCTCTATGTAAACGTGTGTCTGAGCTTGCATTGCAACTGAACGCCAGAACCAAGAGTATGGTAGTGAGTGTTGGCATACCTAGAATAGGAATACCTAGGTCTTTATCAATTACGCATCTATTTCAGATGTTGCCTGCCAAGTGTCTGTGGCCATTTTGGCTATGATCAAGTTGCTCCTGATCTTCTAGAAAGCTTTTTGTTTAGATTTACGTTCCGGCCTTTTATCTGTCTGCTTATTGGTTCATCGGTAAAATCAGTTGGAAATGATCTGTTTTGATCACTTGATGTAACGTACTTCCTATTTCCAGTGGGTAAAGTTTCGTAAGTGGGCGATGTAACACTTTTCCATTTGGGATGAGGATTTTGGCTAATCGTAGATCACCATCAACTCTCAATGAGGGCAATCATTTTGCTGTAACCCTTACTTCCTCTTGGTAGCACTTCCTGCTCAATCAGACTATCTCACCGATTTCTGGGATTCTTCTTGCAGTATGCCTCGGCTGCCTGAGGATGTTTGTTCTCTTAGTGCTGTGAGATATTTGGTATTCCATCTTCCTCGGAACTTGTTAGCCATCTTGGAACATTGTTCAAGTGCTTCATAAGCTTGTTCTCTGTTTTGTATCAACTCTGGATTATCGATCATCCGCTAATTAACAGCTGCGGGGCCTGGCAGCGAGTACCTAATGTTGCCCTGTAGAAAATCGACCGGTCGCATCGGAATCTCTTCTAAACATGAAGTGCTAAGTTTTGTAAGGGGACGAGTGTTTATCACCGCCAGTAATTGCAGTAATTGCACTAAGCTCTACATAACTGAGTTTTTCCTGCCAATGAATTTTTGCATGGCTTTTTTCACAAAACCGACTAGACGTTCCCAAGCACTACTCATCCATAAGCTGGCAGGTGGATTAAATAACCATTTAAAGCCCTTTCCTTGCGCTGTAAGACATTACGCAATTGTCGGATGGATCAACTGCATGAAATAATTTCTCGATTATGCGTGACCCAAGTTTGAAGTTAGTGCCGCAATCAATACAGATAAGCTCTGGCACACCTTTTTGAAACAAACTACAAAAATTCAAAAAGGCACCAGT